CAAGCTCCTCCGTTCACCCTGATTGCGGTCAAAGCTACGAGCGCGAGCTAGTGCGCGCTCCTGGCTTTGAGACGTGCATTTCAAGCGCGAGCGCTCGTATGGCGAAATAGCGTTTCAAAGAATGCGACCTCGTGCTCTCGTGCTTGTGGCATCGACTGCAATTTCAGCTTAAGGGTAAACGGAATATAGGAGGTATTCACTGGACGCCATATTTGAGGGCGATGTTTAGGGCGCATGCTCAAAACGAGCTCACACTAATAGCCTGCTAAGACCGGCAACCTTGATGGTGCTAAATGCACGCTCCAAAAGGACTGCGGAAGCTCGCCGTTAGCACGCGCTCAGCAGCAGCGCACACGGATATGGCCGCCAGTGAATACTCTCTATAGTTGACTGCGACTAAAATATGGTAGCCAAGTTTTCCAGAGTCACTGAGAGCTTAGGAAAAGCAGGGTGTGGCTTACTAGGTTGACGTTTCTAGCTTCGTGATTCGTTCTTTGGAATTCTTATCGCCAACTGCCGCCGTCCCATTGGCAGAAGGGAAATAATCGTATGCCGAGAACTCACCACGCTCTGCGTTTTTTCACCGTGACTATAGTATGCATATTTTGGCTAGCATATAATCTATAGCCAAGTAGATTGTTTCGCTTGCATTTCGCACAACCTGGTCACACACGCACACACACATAAAAAATATCTAAGCCTGACGGTTGTAGCACGAAAAAATATACTGCTGAGAGCTTGTCCTCAACCCAAGAGAACGTTAGAGTTAGGTACTCTTTTTGGTTGGTTATAGTGACGAGGCTGAAATGTTTTTCCAGCTTCCTCATTCTCTGTAGATGCACTTCCTTCAGCGATCTCTTGTGTTTCGCGCATTTTTCAGATACTTAAGTGTATATTGTCACGAATGACAAATGATTGCGCGGCGAATAACTGAAGGAATTGAACGTTTAATGGGGCGAACTTGCGCCCAAAACAAAGGAAGAGGAAGTTAGCGTCGCAGGTGTCGATGTCGGCGAAACAGCAGGATCGGGCGGTGGGGCGAAATTGACCTCGGCTCGCCACGCGGAGTCCCTTATGTAGACGCGTGGGATTGTGGAACAATTGGTGTTGAAGGTTCGGCGCGTAGAACATTGTAATCTCGAATAAGCAACAGGGTGCTCGAATTTAACTGAATGCGACATTACAGAAGCAACGAAAAGGTGTATCCGCGGCCAGGCATCGAACACAGGCTTTTCACGTGGGAGGCAGGCACGATAACAGTTAGGCCGCGGGCGCGCTGCCTACTTGGCCAGCCGCGCGCGCGGCAATATATTTTTTTTTATTTTTTTTTTATTTAGCCACTTATCAAAGTTCCCATATCTGTTCGAATTTCTTGTAACCAACCACTCATCTAAGAAGACAGAAAAAGAAAAAAAAGCAGCTCGTTGACAGGGGAAAAAATTATTTTGAGAACCGCAAAAATTGTTTTTAAGCTGGAGCGCTGCACACTAAAGAGTTGTACTTCGCGTTCACGATCCATCGCCTCAAGTTGTTGCGTTGAATTGCTTTTGATTAATTGCTCAGTATTCCTTCCCAAGTCTTAGACGTACGGAGTATCGTATTTTCTTCTGTAGATTTTGAAAAGTAAGAACGACAACTTTAAATGAAACACTGTAAATATGAACACGCGAATGTCCCTTTTACGAGAAAGAATTTGGCTACTAGGTATTTGTGATAGTTTCTTTTCGTATCGGACGATTTTCGTTTGGGAGGCTTAATTATATGTACGCGAAGCATATGTAGCCGAAGTGGCTACGTCTGTACTGTCGTGGGGAAGGACGTTTCTAGAATTTGTTTTTTCTAGTTAGATGTTAGAAATACAGAGAGGCAGAGGGTCGTTACCCTTTTATTTAGTTGTAGGTGCAAATATCTCAACAATATGCCCGAGGCAGTCCTTTCCAGGTCGTACCACAAGTTACTCATAAGTGGTACTTCAAGTACTTTTTAGTTCTTTTTTTTTCCTGCGCTGTGAAAGTTTGTTGACACGGCACCATTTTACATTTATGATATATATAAACTAAATATTTTTCGTTTCATTTAATATAATGGACATGGATGTGCTAATACGCGTGAAAGTTTCGTCAATGTAACTGCACGTTACATGGCGCGCGAGCGTTTTGAGACGCGGCCTGAGTCGCGCTCAGCTCGTGCACTGGCTTTGGCAGTGCTTTCTTTCACCCAGTCTCAGCTGAGACGCAGTTTTTAGCAAGTCGGCCCCGGTGTTTTAAAAGTAAGTGAGAGCAAGAGCTTTTGTTCCAGTTTTTGAGGTACATACGGGACCCAGCCTCATTACTGAAGTATTTGTTTTTTACATCAGTGTATTATTATTTATTTGCTTAAAAAGGCTCATTCTAACCTAGCCAAAGCCAAACCTAACCCCAAGAAAAGTAATAAGAAAAAGAAAGCCATTTTGCGCAATACAGAGATTTCACGTGGAAAACTTCCAGCCACGGAAATTCATATCCAACCTCGAGTCGTTAGACTCTTATCGAGCGAGCCGTCCGAGGAGCAAAACCGCTTGATAAAAAGCTCGTCATCGTGCGATATCAAAATTCCAGGGTGTTCGCGAGGACGACAACATGTTTTTTTTCTTTCTCTCCATACCGCATAAAACCAGTAAACTTTACTCTCTGCGTACAATAACAAATAGAAAAAAAGTTACAGAAATTCTGGATTATTAAAAAAAAAAAACTCAGAAACGTTAAAGAAAAGAAAAAAAAAAGAAAGCAAAAAAACGTCATTTTGTGTTTGCCGAGAAGTGATCTAGATCACGCAACTTTCACGACGCCTTCAGAGAGCGAGCAACACATCATATTCTGGGCCGGCGAAAATGACTGTGCCCGAGCTGTGTGTGTAGGGACTGAAACACATTTCGCAGCACGACCGGAGTTGGCGGAACAATACTCCGTTAGGCCGCCACGGCACAACCAACAAGAATACGTCGAGGACCTTTTTGTAGGTCAGGCGGCTCTCAAGGTATGAATCGTAACTCGGCAACTCTTCAATTCCAAAAAAAAAAAAAAAAAAACAATTCCTACGCAAAAGAAAAAAACGACAACAAATAATTATATTAATAAAAAAATAACGACTGAAAGTACAATTTCCGGCAGTGCCCGTATTCCTAGAAACTCCACATTTCTACGTTACGAAGTAAAATTAAAAAAAAAAAAAAAAAAAAAAAAGCTGTATAATTTCACGTTTTCCACACGAGAACCAAGTGGCATAGCTGTACAGGTAAATAAGCATATGGGAGTATTTATTTTTTTATTTGCATTTCTTATGCGAAAATTGTATATGACAACTTTCTCAAATTAGACAACGTAGAATGCAAGTTCCCACACATCTGCTCCAGCCTATAGAGAACAGATGGACGAAAACATAAACCGAAAGTTGCAGGCTCGAATATATTTCTAGGCCGTTTACGAAAACAAACGGGAATGTTTAAAGCACGTAAATCGCAGTTGTGGCACCACTGCCGATGGGGCAGGGGGCTTGCCAAGCCTTCCAGCTTTTCCCCTCCCCTTCCCCCAGTTTTGCAAATGGAAAATAAACATTATTGTTAGAGTTAAAAGCGCATTTTCGATTTCTGTACGTTCATACATCCATGGATGATTTGTACTTTTTTTGTGTGTGCGTGTGGAATTATTTTTCTATGTTCGGGGGAATATTGTATTATGATCAGTTGGTTCTTCGTACAGCATTATCGTTCTTCGCCGTATATACATATCATAAGCAAAACTTAATTAGAATTGGCAAGATAGCGCATTCACAATGTCCCATAATAAAAACAGTTCAACTCTCCACTTTACTACCGAATTCCTCACACCGCATTTTTCAAACTGCCAGCGAAAGTGATTCTTTAGACCGTGCGCAGAAGATTGTAGTCACCAATGTTCGTGCTAAGCATACAAACGCCATACTTCATTGGCTGCCCTGGGGTCACCCAAGTACGTTATCCGGCAACGTTACGCAACATTTCCAAGAGGCCAACTGCGGTAGCTTACTAAAGTATTATTTGAAATGCAATAACTCTATATTCGTTTTTTGTGTGTGTAAAAAGAAGGTATTTGAAAATGTGGCCGCTATGTTAGTAGCCGACAACTCAGGAAACGGAAGGTAACGTGGAATTAAAGTTCCCGGGCATCTTAGTATTCTCCAACGAGACTGCGCCATTACTCGGTAAAAACGCCACAGAACAATTCACTATCCAAGAAACCTAACCATAACAAACAACGCCCGGTGTTTCGTAAGCTGTCAAAAGACTTTAGCAGGTAACTTCCAAATTCAATTTGGAGCTTGGTTATTTTAATTTTACGTCACCTTCTTTGGTGAAAAGACAGTTTAGTCTTTCGATATCTCCCATAGCATTCCCCAAACCAGATAATCCCGCTTCAGCATAGGACCCTATCGTATTGTCAACATGCGTGGATATAAGCCCCTCGCGTGACTAACACCTGCTACGCACAATCCTGATACTACGATGATAAAATCGATAACAAAGGTATCTACGTGTTAGCAAGGAAGGCAATCGCGTCGTCGCTGTGTTCCCTTCGGAGCTGCTTGTGTTCAAAAGCGTATTAACGTATAACGCTGGAGTCATGTACCGTAGGCAACGGTACAAAAATTTGTTTTTCAGTGTGCAATGAACTTGGTGCAGTCAGGTATTGAACAACCTTATTCTAGGATTCCGAAAGCCACGAACGTGAAACAGTCTACTACACGGCAACAGGGAATAACACTATAGATGAACAACGCGGCACCCTATAGCTGGGCATGCACCTTTTGCCGGTCTTGTCCATGTAAAATATACTGTTTGCGTTCGTGCCTTTGGAAGACAAATGTTTCCTATTTTCATTCTGACCCGCTGCTCGACAGCGAGACAGTCCAGAAAACTACCTTTATCGCTCCGTCGCTGTTTGAAGCCATTATTAAACCGTCCAGAAACAGGCACAAGACAACCATTTCGTAATGAGGTCCCGTACAGAACAGGTACACTTTGACTCTTTTTAATTTTCATCATACTTTGTACACTTCCCGTTTCGGGGTCAAATCCTGCGGCGGTTCTCCACTTCCCTCGAGTGATATTTGTTTTTGTTCTAGCATCACATCTTGCGTAATCAAACTTGACTTTGTAGGAAACCGATTTCCCCGATGTGACTTGGGGTAAATGTCCACAAACAGGAGCTGTAGTGAGATTCAGACATGTCCGTTTACATCGCGACCTGTGCAAAAAGATCAGTCTAGAAATGGGGAATACCGAACACAAGAAAGCCTGCCTTCCAGTTCGGTAAAGGTTGGGGGTAAACTTTACTTACAAAGAGGTGGTCGCGAAGTGGAAGTCAGGGGGAAAGAAATCTCACCGCAGCAGCATCGCCTCGCATACGAGAACTAGCACGTCCTACGTTCGCACTCACGCACTAGCACACACATGAACACATCCAGTCCAGGCATACGACAAAAATCTTCTTCCTATGTACAAGTTCCTGAGGAAATATATCTGTTTCTCGAACGAAAAGGTAGACGACGACGTCTCCCTGAACTCTTCAAATCTTCTCTTCCGAGTAGCCGGACTCATCCGACACGTTGTCCGACTCCTCGTCTACGGTTTCGTCGATGGAATTGAGCGGCCTTCGCCGTAGCTGAGGATTGGGCATGTCGTCCACGGAGTCCGAGTCCATTGAGTCCGTTTCTCGAACACCCACCCCTAGGAACTGGTCTGACAAGGAGTCCAAGTCTGCGTCCGTCACAATGTCCGACGTCGACTCGTGCTCCGACCCCGTCGTGATGAAGTCGTCTTCGTCGCCGAAGTCGTCGTCTTCTTCGTCCTCTTCGATGGACGTGAGCCGGGGCGCGCTCCTGGACCTCTCAAGCGGCGCCCTGAAGTTGCTGGTGCCCGTGCTCAGCAGGACTTTTCTCCTGGGCATGGCCGGCTGTTCGTAGATGCTTCCCAGGGACAGTCTGGCCTTCTGCCTACTCAACTTCTCGCGCTTAAACTCTTGCAGCGCAGAAGCGAGCTTGTGGTTCAGCTGGGCCGTCATCTGCCGTGCAATGTCCTCCTTGGCGCAGAGGACAGCGTGACATCTCAGTTCCTGCTTCATCTTGCGGCCCTCGTGCCTGTAGATCCAACAAAAGACCTTGGGGTAGGAAGACACAGACGTGCAGTGGGTAATCCGACTTGCCCAGTACTCTGTCAGGCCGTGTTCTTTGGTGACAGCCTTGAGGCCCGAGTTGCACACGGTTAGCTTCATGTGGATGTCTTGTTTGACGTTCGTGCAGTAGTTCTTCCACAGCGTGGCCAAGGGTTTGTCCACGCAGCCCTCTCCCTTAGCCCAAGGCGTCAGGACATTGCCCAGGTAGACGACTTTGTACGTGGGGTCGTATTCCGTGATGGTCACGGACTTTTTGTTCCAGAACTTGTTGAACATTGGCGGCCACGACGAAGACATGGCGGCCGTTGTTGACGGGTCGGCGAACAGCGTGGTTGCTCGGTGATACGAGGAGGCTCCGAGGGGTCGCCTATCACATCGCACTAGACGGCCCGTGTTGGAGGCGTCCTTTCCAGCAAGATGCACACGACGAGGCCTAGCACCGGGCAGACGCAAAGAACAGCACTTTTTCCGTCTCGGGAGAAGGTAGCAGCAGCGTCGGTTCCCCTCACCCGGCAGCCCAGGACGACAACGATGACAGCCGCCTCAACAGTAAACAGAGACGCACCACCTGCTGCAGTCGCTGGGAAGCACTCCTCTGCGTGGACGCGAGCGTAAGTTGGGACGCTTGCAGGAGTCGCAATCCAAGGGATGAACTTTTTTCCGTGCGGCGTACGAAACGAACACACGTCCCGTAGCAAAGCACCAGGCTTCGGGGGCCGGGGATAGGAAAACGCTCCTGCCGGGCCGCCGCTGTTGGGCGAGGTTGCGTGTGTGGAAACCGGCTTTTTGCGCGCCAAGCCAACTGGTACAAACAAACGAAGCGTGCGAAGTTCAGCCAGCCACAGCTCCTCTGCTCCGTTCCACCTGGCGCGCCGCTGGCAGCGGAGGTGCAGCCAATGCGAGTTCTGCGTACTACCTGCCGCGGGGACAAGTAAAACTAGAAAGGGGACGCGTGACGTCACGGTCAGGCTGCGCTGCGATTGGTTGTTGGCAGACAGAGCGCGAGGGCGAGACCAGCGAAGGTTCTGAGGGTGCTTCAGTTTTCTCAGCCTCTTGATCGACGGCACTTGGAGGGGAGAGAGCTAGGCACAGACGAGCCGCCGTGAACGCAGTGAGGTGTCCGCTGTCGCCATCTGGGGTTGTAGGGACGCACTACCGGGAGGTCGCGCGCTGCGCGTGGATTTCGATTCGGCCTCAAGCTTCCCGGAAAATCCCGTGGTAGCCCTGCAAATAAGAGGAATGGCAGGTGACGTAGGTTGTTGTCGAACATGCGGTAAATAAGTCGGCATTGTTCACAAGCTAGATTCGACAGGAGACAAAAGAAATTACTCAAGGGAGCTCAACGGTCATGTTTCGTTCGTTTGCGTCGCTGCATATGGCCTGTTATTTGCATTTCAGGAAACCTTTTCTTGTTATTAAGAAAGAGGACTGCAAATTTTCATAAGAAGCGGCATTGAATATTGTGACGGCTTCCTCCCATTAAACTTTTTTTTTTTGTCATTGAATACAGTATTATGATGATGAAAGCAAAGCTCTTTGCTTGATCGGTAGACAGAAGGTAGGGCTCAGTCGGCTTATAGAGGCTAATATCGTTTCCTGAACAAAACTCGAATTTAAAGAAACCAAGTTTAAACACGCGAAGTTAAAACACGAAATAAAACCTAGAAATAACCCCCCCCCCCCCCCCCCAACCTTTTCCTTTATTTTTCTGGTCTTGCCCCTGTCAAATTAGAGACTTCTTAATTTCTTCAATTTCTGTAAACATAATGTTTAGTTGTACAAAAATATAAAATAAAAAAAAAAATTGCAAAAGTACGTTCTCACATTTGTAAGCAGCCACACACATGTATTAATGCCATTCAAACGCAAAAATTGCACTAAATTGTCTCCACGTGTTCTAAAGTACCCACCGTAAAATAATATATATATATATATATATATATATATATATATATATATATATATATATATATATATATATATATATATATATATATATATATATATATATATATATATATATATATATATATATATGTGTGTGTGTGTAGTGGTTAGCACACCCGACCGGACATTGGGAGGCCCAGAGTTCAAATCCTGGCTCCGCCAATTTTTGGCTTTTACTGGAGAACGCGAGATAGCACAGATCGGGCTATCATCTAGCAAGTTTGAAGGCGTCACTATACGAAGTATGCAGCTCTTTTGTTTTCAACGACACGATGCTCACTTTCGTCGAAAGCATCTAAATTACAACTTCTGACAAAACCACGATATCTGCCAAGCGAGACACACGACTCAAACTATCCTGCCCTAAAAAAAAAGAAAAAAAAAACCGTTTCACGTTGTCTCTTTTACGTGAAGGTATTGCAACAGGCATGTGACAAAAGGACACGTGACGTGCCAGACAATTGGATATATCGTATTGGAGTTGCGTCGGTATGGCGAACGCAAAGGAGAGTAATCATTCCGCTCGCGCGCGCGCTCGTATATATCGCACGTTGATACTTTTTTATCAACACGATGTCTACTGTTTCTTTTTATCTTTTCGCTCCGTAAACGCTCTCGCGACTCCTGGAAACAATTCCGACGTGGTCGCAGTCCCCTTGCTCTCTACAATAACACGATACGATATCTGTGACGAAAGCCGATAAAGTCAGAACGGATCGTGCGTATATGTACGTATACCATCGCTGCAGGGTGCGCGAAAACATATTTCATATGTTCCTGCGTCACAACATCCTATTTGCCCGACGCACAGGGTGTGGTGTGGTCAACTTCATTCCGCAGTTGTTATATGTAGTCGCAAAGCAATCGATAATATCGCACCATCATCGCCCAAACCTAAAAAACGCAAAGCGCGGCTCTTTTTTTTTTTTCAGATTTTGCGTCAGAATTCGTTATTTCGGCGTTTCGCAAATTTTAAATAAAATCCTCTGGCTGCAATTTTTAACACTGGCTGAACAAAATACACGCGTCTATCGGCCTCCTGCCCTGCCCAGAGGGTGCTGCTAATACGACGTGTTAGGACTTGTTTTGGGTAGTACAAATTTTAGCGTCTCAAACTGTCACGCATGCAGACGCGTGCCTGCTCTTCTGCGGAGCGCGAGATCACGATGAAAATACAAAGACAGAACAAAAATTCGAACGCCGTCAAAGCTAGGACGCTGAGAGTGTGAGCCAAGAGATGCCGTTTCACGCGTTCCAAAGTAGACATCAAAAAGAAAAAAAAAATTAAAGCGTCCCGACAAAGGTGTTGTGACGTCACCACCCAGATGTAAGAGACGCGTGCCCTAGCGGTGGTGTCATGAATTTGGCATTTTCGATTCTCTTGCAACGTTGAGTTTGGCCGATTTCTGGCGTCCAAAGTTGTTTTTTCGCGCTTTAGCACCACATAGAATTGAAAAAGCTCGACCAACGTACCATAAGTAGGGCTATGCTCAATCAGGTGAGCTTGTACTACCCAAAATGAGGGCGCTACAGTTTGTTCAAAGCTTAGCGCAGGAGGCCTATAGAAGATGCCTGCTGCGTCTCCGTGGCGTCAGATGCAGATTTGCATTGAAACGCTTCGCACTTCATATGGAAGAAGAAAACAAAAAAAAAGTATATATATTATACTCCGTTTCACCTTATGTTGTACCGCAGCGAAGGCTAGAAGCGCGAGCTCATAGCGTTGGCAGCTGCCCTTGGTGCACGAGAGCTTGTGCCGCCGAGATATGCCATAAAGGAAGGAGCTCGCGCTTGTAGCATTTTCTGCGGTACAACACAAGATGAAACAGAGTACAATAGGGACACTACCGGATTGAACTGCCATAATAGACCGATGTCACCAGCCAGTTTGACTACGCCAACGCTGCCGAAATGCATTGAGGGAACTTAGTCTTTTTCCACGTGCGACAACCTCGCTGGAGCTCTGCGTGTGTAAATCACGAGAAGGCACGAGCCCTCGCATGCAAGACCGTCTGCCTCCTGTGAACTAAAGTTATTGTGGCGTCACGCATGCGCCGAACGCTTAGTGAGATCGGTCTATTGCGAGCGCTGAAAGAAAAAAAGGAAAAACAAATCGGAACCGATTACCCTGGATAGCTAGCTCTTAGTTGGGCCTGGAATGTGTTACAAAGTTTCTATTATTGCAGAATCTTTTTTCAGTCACTGCAGACTTCATTTCCCTTCGGTTTGCATCTTGATCTGATATGTCAGTGAACATATTGCGGTTACCCGAGTGATTTTTTTTTTCATCTACAAGCTTATTTTTAAAGTTGAGTTAGAGGACATGCTGTCTTCCTTCCTATAGTCAACGAGCGCACAATTCTCGGGATTGAACTTCTTCACATGTACCCGACTATAAAGGGTCATCTATAGAGTCACTAAATGTGCTCAGAGTACCGGCACCCTATATAATCCTCGAATCTCTTGTGGGCGCTGCCATTTTGGTGCTAAGTGCAGGCCGGGCGCGATCGGCGATCGCTACGATTAAAAAAAAATGTGACTTCGTGCACGCTCTAGATGCGGTGTCAGGAAACACGGGCGATACCGTTTTCTTTCATTCCTGATGAAAACCTCGGATAAGTGGCAACAATGATATTAAATTCACAAAGATGGCTAAAGTGCTGCGACTTTGAAACGTCTATCTTGTTCAGTGGCTCTGTAGGTGGGCAAACGGAAACCTATCCGAGTGTCTACGCGCAACGCTCGTTAAACTGTCAGATGTCCCGAGGTATTTCTGAAACGAAGAAACGAAAGCAATTATTTTCCTAAAAGCGACTGGTTACCTTACCTAGACACTCAGACTGAATTCCAAAACCCTACGTAAACTTTTCCTGAGCTTACCTCTTTGTTTGCTTTTTTTCTTTAGGATTCCGTCCAAGCGCTCGCCATGACTCTGAAGAAGACTCGTCCTTGACTTGGCTTTTAGTGATACACCCGAAGGTTGAACCGGAGAATTTTATAAAGTGCGTCCTTAGTATTTCTCCATGACGTGTTTTCTTTACGGCCGTTGAACTTGGAGACGAAGATCATATGCTACTTGCGCCTGTGCTTTGTTTTCCGCCCTCGGGGGTGTGTGACTCCTATGAGCATTAGACGAATCACACACTGCGTGGCAGGCACACCCATGAAACGCGGAACATTCCGACTGCAAGAAAATTTTCCATGGCCCATAGAAAATTTTCCGCTTCACCGTAGAGGTTCGAACCCGCTGGGTGTAAACTGAGCAGTAGAAAAGCCAGTGATCGAGCCGCAATTCAGCCAAGCCAAGGAAGCTTGAGTTGGATATTTACTGGTGTCCCCTGATAGAAGGTATGTCGAAACGCTGCATCTTTTTCTTTTCAATTATGTTTTCAAAATTTGTTTTATACTTTAAGCTCTTGTCTTTTTAGTCTCACTTGCTTCTGCTCTTACACATATACCAGTGTCATTTTGAAGCCGCATCATGGCGCAGCCAACTTGCCGATTGTTTTTGTGACGTCTCTACTTTTTCCTCTACAACATCCTTCTATCGTTTTCGAGCACCACGAGTTTCCAACACATTTTGTGCTCTTCCGAGTCTTGACTGTTAGTTTTGGGGATCAGCATGTGGTATAATGTAGTACGCTATCTATCATAATCGAACCGCAGTTCATTACCGATTTTTAGCTGTGTTATATTCAGCCCACTCACGTCTTTAAACTGTCACCATCTGAGCCTCTAAGAAATCCGGAACGACCATTCCTTCCCGCATAGCGTCGGGAGAGCCGATCGGTGTAATCGTATATGGAGGGCGGTCGGCGAATGGTCAAAGTGAAAATATGTTTACAGCTAAAAAAAAAAACAGTTAGCGTTTAGCACTGAGCATGACGTAAGCACTTGAAACGTCGCACCCAGTCCACAAGGCTCCATGTAGCGTGACCTATACATAAAATCAGTTTACCCGCTAAATTTTACGTGACTTATACGCAAATTCAGTTTCCTCGCTAGATTTAGCGGGAAAATTGACGTCACGTGACCTCATCACCAATACAGTTTCCCCGCTAAATTTAGCGGGGAAAATTATTTCTTGGGTGCCAGTTGTTAAAAAAATACATATGTAAGAACAGCGACTCATATGAATGTCTCCAAATGATATACGGGCGTGGGCGGTCCCGCAACACCTTTGAAATATCGTGACTTTATACACAGTGACTGCATCTGGAGGCTAGAATGCTTCGCTTTTTATATATATAATTGTTTTTCT